TCCCCCCCCGCAACTGCTGCTCCAGGTCCTTCCCCACTCCCCTCCACTGCTATTCTGGGTTGTGCCATTCTGAGTCTAGGCCTGTCTGTAGAGGCAATTTCCTGAGAGAGAAAACTTGATTACACCCAAGCACTGCAAATCGCTGAATATCATATTTTCATGCATGCAACACACCCCAAATAAAACACACCTTGTTTTTGTAAGGCAGAATCTCAAAAAAGATTGTTTCCAGAGTCATGGCTAACTGTGTGACATTGAGTAAGTCCTCCTGGCAGCATAGTGTCCAGAAAGTGTGGCACCAGGAAGTTCCTGGTGTTCACAGAAGAACTTATCTGTGCCCCATAAGGCTAGGCCCCAAACCCTTGCAAGAACAAGACATAATGCTTTCCTGCAAATAGTTCTTTATATAACTTCCTGTAAATGAATTGTTGTTTTCACAAGCCTCATCAAAATAGTACCAGCAGGTCACTTAGTGCTTTGGGCACAAGCTACAGTACCCAGCTAATAGTTATGGGCATAAGAGGGTTAACACAGGACTCTGACATCTTGGCAGCTGCACAGCATGCCCGGTGTCCCCAGGCTTGCTTCTTCACCAGTGAAGAAAACAGCTTCCCTGTTAAAACACGCACCCTTTGGGTGGGCTGATTTTAAATGGGAGGGAAGGTGAAAGGTGCATGTTGTATGTGAGAAAATATAGTATATTGCCTCTATAGATATAGTCACATCCTCTCTCCCATTGATAGACTGTTGGGTAGAATGGATGGGTAGAAGCTGAGCAACCTGGCAATGCGTGTGTCTTTATAACTGTATTTTGAATGCAAAATTGAATGAAGACAGACAGCAAGCCCTGAGTATACTAACTGCTTTAAATGATTATGGATTCATGTGGTGTATGGCAGAGTTTGAGGCAATATATTTGGGGACCTTGAAATTCAAGAAAGCAACCAACTGCAGCTCAGTTGTTCTTAGGGTGGAATAAGCTGTGGCCTTCAGCATCTCTTCCTGTGTTCTGTACCTACACCTACCTTTCTTCCCATTTCATGATCAGCCCAGTGTTGGAGGCTGCCAAAAGAACTACATCCTGTGAAAGTCAGTCCTCTGCATCTCATAGTGTAGCATGACCTGGCATTAGAAAAAGCCTTGCCTCTTACTGTTACCAGAATAATCTGGGAAGAATGCACGACCAATGCTGGTATCTTGAGCAATATAAATGTTCATGCCTCTCAAGCAGAAAGAAAAATGAGAGAAGAAAAAAGGCCTCCAGTTTGAATATGTTAAATAAAAACTGCTAATTCTGAGCAGAGGGCATGAGCAAATCTTTTGTGTCTTACCCCATGCTTGTCACCATCTGTCTAGCATTATTTAATTAAGCAGAGAGACCGTATTTCATATTTGTTTGCACTCACTGGGAAATTAAATTCTCTCAGCCTGAAATGGTTTTCCCAATTTCAGCTCATGTTTATATTCTTCTTATTAGGTCTAAAGTTTACAGTCTAGAGTGTGAAATGAAAGCTGTAAAGGGAGGATGCTTTAATTTTCTCAAGAGTAGCAGAGGCCTTTCAAGGAAAGCAAGTCTCCAAGAGAGATGGATTATCAGCATAAGAAAAAAGAGCTGTCTTCATTTTTGTTTCTCTTTTTCTTAGTGTGTGGGATGGGGAAGGAGGGGGGTGAGTGGGGAATTTGATAGTCCTCTTGGTATTCTTCTCAGTCTGATACATGGCTCCCTATCTTGGTACTGCACCTCTGCGGGAGAAGGGAGGGATGCAGTGCATTTCTTTGTGTGCATGCTTGTCTGTATGTTAAGCATTTTTTCTGTCTTATATTCATTCACAGCTGTGATTAGTGCTCATCCCATCCATTCACTCGATAACCCTCACCATCATTTCCACTCCGGCAGCCTCGCTTCTCCAACTCGCAGCTATCTTCATCATCAGGTCAACCCATGGCCGATTGGCACGTCCATGTCCCATTCAGACAGGGCCAATTCTACAGGTGAGAAATGATCAGACAGCTGTCTTGTGAAAGGGGAGCCATTCGTACAACATGTGGGGGAAAGCAGAGCTTTGAGGGGCACACTCAAGTCATTTAATAGTTTGCTTTGCTTGGTCTCTTGTGATTTTACTGTGAAATAACTTGCCTTAGTCCAATGGATAACTTTTTCTTTTCCATTTATTAGACAACAATTCTCTTTATTTTGAATTAACCTAAAATTAATGTCTGGTGTTTTTGCTTGGCAGCTACAACTTCAACTGGCATGACACCTTATCCTTGTAAAAAAAAATATGCTGTGCATAACTGCAGCTGCTTCAGCAGTGTGAACCAACTCTGGAAACAGTGTTTGCTGCTTCATTGCTAATGAAGACTCAAGAAGGGAATGGAAAAATTAGCAGTTTGATGTTTTATTTTTGAGCAATTGAGGGACTTGTTAAAAATGTACAAATCTCTTGTTATTTAGAAAGATTTTTAGCCAAGCATCTGAATTTTGCACATAATGAACATTGGGCCTGGGATATTTGATAGTGTCCTTTTAAAAGAATGCCTTATAATGTGTATAAATATGAATTTGCATAATAGAAGTCACATAATATGCCATCTCTAAAATCTGAAACATCCACTGTCCATTTAATTTGCATTAAAAAAACCTAATAACTTTAGTTTCTTTTAAACAGGAGGAGGGGGCAAACATTAAACCTGTGCTTTTGAGAGTTGAATGTTAGTTTTTCTTTCTGAAATATGCATATAATCTTGACATTTTCTACAGACTGCTTTCAGGCTTGAAGTACAATTGTGTGTAAGTACAGTTGTTGGCAATAGGCTGACTAAACTAGCAGACTATAAGCAACAACATTGTTGTGCATGCTGGGGGACTGACAAATAGTTAAACATCTGAAGATGAAAGTGCCTCTCTAGTCTGTCAGGTTCTGAATCCTAATTGAGGTACCACAAGCAAAACCAGTTTTTCTGGAATGTCTTAGTTGTTGATAGGCAAAGCTTCAAACATAGCAGGAGGATGCTAATATGTAGGTGGAGCAATACTACTTGTTCTTATGCCCTTCAAGTGATGATGGGAATGGCATCTCTTGCAATCAGAAATCTTTTCTTGTGTACAGTCCCCGTATTCATATGTCTTGAAACAGCATAATCATTTGCCCATATATCACACTAACAGGAGCATTATATAGCCCTGTATAATTCTGAAGTTGGGAAACATTCTAGTCTTAAATTAGAACTAAGAATTTGCATCAGATGCCTTTTTATTACCTAACCAAAGGCTGCTGGCCATGCATTATTGTTGTAGGATGACATGGCATGCCCATTGCTTAGACTTTCCTTTTGTTGTTATGTTCTGAAGCAAATACTATAAAAGGGGCTGGTCACCACTTGGCATAGCAAAAGTTCTAAATGTTTTGTCACATTACTTAGGCAAAGTAATACAGTTAAAAGGGAAGCACTCAAGTGGCAATAGAAAAAGTATGGAGAGATCATTTCTGTGGCCATTTCATTGAGAAAAGGCCTCTCTAGGTCATCCATAAAGATGGATGGAACTGCATATTTTTTGACGTTAAGGTTTTAGAAAAAGAAATACCCAGACCAGTATCGCAATCCAGAGCTACAGCTGAATTATTACAGGCTTTGTCTCCCCCCTCATCTTTTTTATTTGCCTGAAATGAGCTGCAGAGACATTGCAGCACCACATAATGGTGGGATAACAAATCATCTGGTTAACTGTGTGCTGCTTTGATGCTCAAGCCTGCTCTGATACTATTTGATGCTCAAGCCTGCTCTGTCATAGACAGCTGTGGGCTTTTTGTGGGTGGCTGGGTATTTTTTGTCCCTGAGAATTGTTATGAGCATATGTCTTAAAGCAGAGCAGTCGCACAGTGTGCCATTGGGTTATAACTGTACCATTCATGTGTGAATTAACTCCCAAGCTTCTAAGCAGGTTGCTGAGGAAAAAGAGCTTGTCCATTGGGACCAGACCAGGGAGATGTACAACTGGGATGCTGTGAAAGAAAAAGTTCAGTTGTCTTGCTCAATGAAGAAAGAAAAATCTTCCGTCAAAGAAAATGAGTCCCAATTTTACTTTCTCATTGTAGAATCTGTTCGAAACACACCTAGCACAGACACGATGCCAGCTTCCTCATCTCAGACCTGTGCTGACCACCAAGATCCAGACAGTGCCACAGGATCGTATCTGGCCAGTGCACAAGAGGAGGATTCAAGTCAAAACCTCCCTACTGCCCATGTCCGTCCCTCTCACCCTCTGAAGAGCTTTGCAGTGCCAGCAGTCCCACCCAGCAGTTCCACATATGACCCTGCCTTGCCAAGCACACCATTACTGTCCCAGCAAGGTGAGTGGGGGGAATAAATAGCATAGGAAACATAGAGTTTCAGTTCACATCCTGTACATGGAGAAAGGATAGAGTGAAACTCAGTGAGAGAGCCAACTGGACTGTATTTCATTAATGTAATTTTGAAGACCTCTTATTTTGAATAGTTGGGTAATTCATAATGATATTCAACTTCCATTAATTAATTAATTCTAACCCTCTGGCAAATGTTTGCATTCTCAGACCTCTTTTCATCTTGTCATTTCCAAGATCTTTCCCTGGAAGTTATAGCAGGGATTCTGGCATTCCAGTGGCGAATGCCAGTATGCTGTGCTGTCTCCCTGCCTAGGCAGGAAGAGAGGTTAACCGTGGCGGCTTTTTTTTAAGCTTCCAACCATCCAGTTCACTCAGTGAAGACTGCATCGATTGGGACTTTAGGAAGAACTCGACCTCCAATGCCAGTGGTAGTCCCCAGTGCCCCTGATGTGCAGGAGACCACTCGAATGCTTGAGGATTCGGAAAGTGTAAGTATCTTAACCACCAATAGCTTTCTTTGCCAGCGCTTATCAAACTATAGTGAATCTGTCTTGATCTCCTCTGTGGGAATTATAGTAACTTAGAGCCAAACATGTGAGCTACTTCGGTATCTTTCAGCTGTCAAGGGCCTAATGAGCAGAGGCTGAAAATGTTCAAATACGGCATAATCCCAGGTTAACCAAAGCTCTGTTACCAGAATGTGGGGGTAACGATCCTGGTTACTTAAAGAGGAGGAGGAGCTACCCGAGGCTCTGCTTTCCCCAAGCCTGTCGTAATGAAAGGAGGGGCAGAAGAAGAGAAGATCGTTCTTAGACTTGTATTTGCAGAAGAACTGCTTTCTAGAGTGATATCCCCTACCAAGTGCTGTTATCTGTACTGTACAGCCACACTTGCTGTGATTGTGCTCACATTAGCATTTCATTTCCTGATCCATGTTCTGTGACCAGGGTGTGCCTGGGTTTGTCTGTGTGCTTTCACTGAACTTAATAGAAGTCATGCAGTTACAGTCTCACATCTTCCTACAGAGTTTCATCCCAAATATGAAGTGTCCCAAGTGTCCAATAGACAAATGAAAGATTAGGATTAAAGCCAGAGTGTTTAAATTTGTGACCCTAAATTCATCTTTAGGCTCCTGCTGAAATTGGTCTGACTTTCAGAGGGTTTGTGTAACTTCAGCTTCTGCTGAAGTCTATGGGAACTGCAGGTGTTCAGCAACTTTGAAATCAGGCAGTTTTTTCAAAGTGAGGAGTCTAACTTTAGGTATCCAACTGTGAAAGCGTTGGCTTAAAATCCTTTGCAGTTGAAGGTACCACAGCACTTAGAATGATTGCATTTGCTCTACTATTAAGATGTTATTGGGTGCAGGAAATGCTGGCTTAAACTGAAGTATTTCTGTTTTCTTCTCTCTTTCCTTTTTCCCTCTCTTCTTTTTCCTTTATCACATGCGTGTTGCTAATTCATCCGGTCTTGCTTTGAATTCTACATGTTTTAATATGTGTTTTGTTCCTGTCCTTGATTCTTGTACCCCTTTGCCCACCACTGTTTTGCTCTGTTCATTGTCCTTTCAGCTGATACAAAATTCAATTATTGGAGATTTAAAGGGGGGTGATATAGTTAATGCCAATCAAGATGCATTTGTGGATAATGGGTCATCAAACTAACTTGATGTTTTATGAGGTTGGTTGATAAAGGCAGTACTGTTGATATAACAGACTTCCGTAAGTCCTTTGAGTTAGTGCAACGTGACATCCTCATAGAAAGCAACATAATGCAAAACCAGTGTCACACTAAAAAATTAAAAACTGGTTAAACGATAGTTCTCAAATGTAGTTATAAGCAAGGACTCACCGTTGACTAAGTGCCCATCTATTAAAGTTCTCTGAGGACCATTTTTTGTACCATTAAAATTTACAGATGACACAAAAATGAGGGGAATATTAAATAACACAGAAGGCAGGTCACCAGTAGGTCACTTGGATGTATGCAAGCAGTATGGACTTCAGCACAGCTGAAAATAATGCACTGCATCTAGGGAGAAAGAATTTAAGCTTGCTTACAGCATGGGGGACTGTAGAGAAGTAATGACTCTGAAAAAGACTTGGGCTTTATGGTAGGTAATCACCTGAATCCCTGTCTAGCCAACCCAACCAAGTGCTTGGAAAACCTGCTGTTAAAACCTGGAGTGGAGGAGATTCTACAACCTCTTTAGGTGGCCTGTTCCAGTGATTAACTATCACTTCGTCATCATCAGAAAGTTATTTCAAATATTGAAACTAAATTTACCTTGTTTCAACTTGAGACAGTTATTTCTGGTCCTTGCTGCAGTTGAGGTGTGTTACACCACTCCAGAGCCACAAAGCCCAGCACCTTATCATAGAAGGAAATCAGGTTGGTTAAGCATGACTCGCTCTTCACAAATGCACGTTAGCAGTTCCTGATCACTTTGCTGTCCTCCAAGTGCTTAGAAATAGGTTATTGGATTTATACACAAATTAGTATTGAGTGAGAGTACAGAGGTTATATTACATGTTTGTTTGGCTCTGAGACAAATGCTGCTGGAACATTTTGCCCAGTTTTGGTGCTCACATTTCAAAGTGGAAAAATTGGAAAGTGTTCAAAGAGGAGTCGCAAGAGAGGTTAAAGGACTGGAAAAAGGATAGTGACAGATCCAAAGAGCTCAGTCTGTTTAGCTTATCACTGGGAATGTTCAGTATCACAGTCTATAAGTACCTACCTAGGGAACAGAAATTTGCTAAGAGGGCCCTTCAGCCTAGCAGACACTGGTACAGTGAAAGCCACTGCCTGGAAGTTGAAGTCAGATGGATTTAAAGTAGAAATAAAGAAGCGTGATTAATTAACCATTAATACCACCTATCAAGGGTCCTGTCTTTATCCCTGAATGTTTGCAAGTTTAGTTACAAAATAAAATTAAAGCTGCTGAGATAAGTTTATGGAGACGAAAGGATAACAGAAAGGGGGTGTGATGTGTGGAGGTCTGTGCTGTCCCCAGGTTGTAGAACAGAGTGGAGGGGGTTTGTTTTTTCCTGTGTGCCTGTGCTTTGCTGGTGGCCACATGGGTCTGGGAAGGACCTTTTTTCCCCTCTTGTTGGTGCAGGTGCTAGAGGGTTGGGTTTTTTTACCTTCCTCGGGAGTGCACTGGATGTTGGCTGCAGCTGAGGGGAGGATTTTGACAAGGGTGTGCCAGTGTTGCTGCTGAAACTAAAACCCCAGAGGTTCCTGCTTAGAGGATGTTGCTCCAGTGCTCAGTGTCAAACCAACTGCTACCTTTGGAGTCAGGAAGGAATTTTACCCCACAATTGCATTGATATGGACTGTGGGGCTCTTGCCTGCCTTTGTAGTTAGGGTATGACCCTCTTCCTTGGATTTCTCGAGTGTATTTTAACAACCCTTGCAGTGGTGGGGCACTGAGTGCCATCATCCCCATGCTTTACCTGTGGCAGATTAGGGTGTTCCTGCCTTTTTGGGGGTAATGTCCCTTGTAGTTGTGTGACAGGGTTATTTGTGTGGCTGTAGGAGTAAGTTGGACAAGTACTTGTGTGGGATGGTATGGATAGGGAAGTTCTTGCCTTGAACCAGGGGGGTTGGACCTGATGACTTCCAGAAGTCCTTTCTAGCCTTGCTTTTCTGTGATTGGATACTTTTGTTAAAAAGAGATGCTCTAGGTCAAGAAGAGCCATTGAAGCTGAATCCAGAATTAATTCAGGGAAATCCCATTGTCTGTGTTACACATGAGCTCACCCTAGATTTTCATTGATGCCATCTGGCCTAAAACCAATGAAAGTACGAATCAATTTCTTAACTTTCTGACATTTAACAAATGATTTGTTTCTGCTTGTGTGTTCAGTTCCCCATCTCTATATTTGGCTTTGCTTATTTGTGATTCAAAGTCATGTTCTACATAGTCATTGACCGTGCTTTCTCCCACTGCCCATTTCCTTCTCCTTAAAGAAGGCAGCTCATCTTGTCCAGTAACCCTGTTAAATCTCCTGCAGAACTATGAACCGGATGAGCTGACCAAAGAGATGGCCCACCTGGAAGGACTGATGAAGGACCTTAATGCCATCACTACAGCATGACCACCTTCACCAGGACATGACTCCAAATCCAGTTTTACAAGTTTTGGGACTCAGCCTTGGAACACAAGGAATTGTACAGAGCAAGAGAAGGACAGAACATGAGAACACACACAGTACAAACCAACCAACCAGTGCATTAAATGCTAATGCCAGTTAAATAGATGACCTTTCTCGTCCTTGTCCTAAAATGAAGTCATTGCCAAGTTGAATTCCATTTGCCTGCTGAGACCATGCAGGATGGGACAGATCAAGCTGAAATCTATTATCCAGACAAACGGAAAGAAAATAAAAATAAAAAAGCAGACTTTGCATTCTTTTTCTGGTCAGGTTTTGTCTCAGTGGTGTGATTGCCCTGCCTTTTCAGTGTTGGACATTTGCATTTATGTACAATTTTATTTGTGTGTTTTTATTTTATCTTTTTTTATAAAAAGAAAAAAAATGTGTACTCTGAGGGAAAAAAAAAAAAAAGAACTTTGTTGTTTTCCACAGCCTAGCCTGACGTTTGACTGCTTGTTCTATTGTATATGGAAATTCATTGCCAGCGTGGGTTGTTCTGTTTTGTTCTTTTTTTTTTATCCTGCATATAATTACATCCCCTTCCAGCAGTTAATCCATGGCCTTTTGGGATTCTGCATTGCTATTTGTAAGCTTTTTTATTATTTTT